CCAGGCTGGTCTTGAACTCCTGACCTCAGGTGATCCTCCCGCCTCAGCCTCCCAAGGTGATAGGATTACAGGCAGGAGCCACCGTGCTGGCTGTACCTATGCACTTTTAAGTGAAACATGTTTCTTCTGGATTAACACCTCTAGTAGAGGAAAATCTACAGGTACTTAAAGATCAAATTAAAATTATTGACAAGCTCAGGGAAAATGCCAGCTTCAGCCCCTGGGTATCTACAATCCTTTAATGAATTTCAGTCTTCTTTATGGAATTGGGTAACCACTTTATTAAGCCCTTTCTTATTTATATGTCTTGTATTAATATTTGGATCCTGTATACTCAAGACTGTAACTCCAATTGTTTCTTCTCACCTAGAAGCAATCAAACTCCAAATGGTACTGCAAAGTGAACAATGCATGGACACACTTTCTCCTGAGAACCCTCAGACTGACCCCAGGAGAAGCTCTAGCTGCTGTTCCCTGTTTGTATTAATATAATTTTGCATTCCCATCAGAAATGTATCTCTTTAATTTGCATTTCTTTAATTAACAATATTCATGGCTGGGCATGGTAGCTCATACCTGTAATCTCAGCACTTTGGGAGGCTGAGGTGGGTGGATCACTTGAGGTTAGGAGTTCGAGACCAGCCTCGCCAACATGGTGAAACCCCATCTCTACTAAAATAGAAAATATTAGCCAGGTGTGGTGGCAGGCGCCTGTAGTCCCAGCAGCTACTCCAGAGGCTGAGGCAGGAGGATTGCTTGAACTCAGAAGGTGGAGGTTGTAGTGAGCTGAGATCGCACCACTGCACTCTAGACTGGGCAACAGAGTGAGACTCCATCTCAAAAAAGGCCAAAAACCAAAACACATTATTCATTCATTCATTCAACAAACATTTATTTATACATTATGTACCAGGCTGTCATAGGCATTAGGGATACAGCTTTAAACAAAACAACATGGATTATCCTGGAGCACACATTCTAGTAACAATAAATAAACATAAAAAATTCGTAAAGAGCATTTTAGATTGTAAAAAGTACTCTGGAGAAAAAGCTATATGGAGAAAAATAAAAGTCATGGAGGGCCTCACTGACAGGGTGTCGGATGCCAAAGCACCTGAAGAGGGTGAAGGGGAGCCATGCAAATAACTGGAGGAAGAAGTCTCCTAACCATGACAACTGAAAAGACCTAAGGCAGGAGTGTGTCAGCAGTGTTCAGGGAATAGCAAACTGTCTAGAGTAGTTTCCTGGGAATAAGATGGGGTAGGAGAGGATCTTGTAAGGCCTTGTCAGCCATTATAACAGCTTTGGCTTTTTGTCAGATGTGAAGTTATTGGAGATTGTAAGATTATAAAATGTCATAAAAGACAGTGACAGGCGTGCCCAGAAGAGTGTTTGGGGAATAAACTCGCATGACAAAATGTTAGGTCTAGCCGGGCGCGGTGGCTCACGCCTGTAATCCTAGCTCCTAGAGCTTCGGGAGGCCGAGGCGGGAAGAGTTCGAACTCCTTGAGCTCAGGAGTTCAAGAGCAACCTGAGCAACATAGTGAGACCACCTCCCCCCACCGCCATCTCTACAAAAAATAAGAGAACAAAATTAGCCGGGCGTGATGGCGCGGGCCTGTGGTCCCAGGTACTTGGGAGGCTGACACAGGAGAATCGCTGGAGCCGGGGAGCTGGAGGTGGCAGTGAGCCGAGATAGAGCCACTGCACTCCAGCTTGGGCGACAGAGCGAGACCCCGTCTCAAAACAGAAAACAATACGAAACAAAATGTTAGTTCTTACAATCGGAAACCCACAGTAGAGGCCAAAAGTTGTTTTGCGAAGAGGAGACTGATAGGAAAGCCGAAGGAGTCTGCCCAGAAAAGTGGGGAGACGATCCCGCCGTGGGCGCCCCCTGGTGGATAACAGGGCCGCTCGGAGAGCCGCTCTGCTGCTGAGATGGACACAAACGGGGCACAAAACACTATTCTGCGGCTGTTCTGAGCGACAGGCTTCCGCAAAAATCGCCAAGGGCGGACCAGGATTTTCAAAAAGGCCGCGCCGGGGGCGGGACGAATAGGGGACTGCACATCGGCTCGGCAGCCCTGAGTCCACCCACCGTCCGGAAGAAACTGCCCGGAAGCGAGGGGCGGCGTCGGCGAGATGACGCAACGAGGGTCGCGCCGAGGGTGACGCGTGGCGTAAACCACACTGACGACCTGCGCCTGTCACCACCCCCCGGGGTTTGTAGCAGAGGAGGAGCGGGCGCCATGGCGGTTCTACTGGAGACCACTTTGGGCGACGTCGTCATCGACTTGTACACCGAGGAGCGGCCGCGTGGTGAGGCTTGAGCCCCGCTCACCTGTCGCCGGGGCCCCCGAGCTTGTCCCCCCACTTTCCTTTTTCTGCGCAGTCCAGGCTATAGATTGGTTGGAACTCGAACTTCTGGGCTGCTGGTGTCTGCGACTGGGCTATTTTATTAACCTGCCTTGGCTAGAAAAGTTTTTGTGACGAATTCGTTTGAGCCTTGGCAGCCCTTTTCCTGTGTCTCGTGTTGGCCAGTCCGGCGGAGGGTGCTTGCGGTCATTAATTGCCTTTGGGAGTGTGTGTGTCGCTGTGAGTGTGATTCGAGCTATACATACAATACCCATAGCTTTTGTGCCATTACTGTGTGTACTTGGGAGAGGAACACAGCAACTACTGCTTGATGCGTAGTCGGTTAAATCTTGATGAAGGCAGGTAGGGTGTGCTTGGCGCAGCGAGTGTGGGCATCCCGCCTGGATGGAAGAAGAGGTCCGAGTGTGAACTTGAGCCTTTGAGGCACTGGGCTAAGTCCTGGGCTTGGCATCTTGCCTCTGGGGGTCTGATTTTCCATTGGGGGAAATTGACATAGGAACCCATTTTAGTTTTCTCTGTGTTTTGGTAGAAGAATGTGTAAGTTGCCATGGAAACCAGAAGAGGGCGTCTTCTCGGGGCGGGGTGGGGAGAAGCAAAGCTTGCAAGTGAAGTAGTTCTTTCAAAGATGAATGGGAATGAGGGTTTTCTTAGCTTAGACTTTCTTTGCTTGGAATTTTCTGGAAATGGCAAATAATTTGGTGTGACTGGAAAGAATGGTATGAGTCGCGGAAAGGCAGACTCGAGTCTGGTCAGATACGCTTAGGTCAGGTCGTGAATAGTCCTGTGTGTCCTACTGATGATCAGAGTCTTTGAAAACTTTAAAAGCAGTGTTGAGGTGTGGCATACTTGCTTTGAGAAGATAATAGGCATCAGTGTGGAGAATGTATGAGTCAGGAAGAAACTGGAGACCAGGAGAGATTAGTTACAGACAGGGTCCTACCCACATGGAATGCAGAGCCTATCAAAGAAGATGAAATAAGTTGCAATATTGTACAATAACTACTTTCTGCCGTGCTCCATTCCCCTCACCTGCACGCAGCTATTCCTCCCTCCTCTCCGCCCGGCAAAACACTGCAAACTCTCCCGTGCCATTTTTACCATTCTCTTGCTGTTCCTTCTAACCAATATTCCTCTCCACTTTTGTCCTTCTGGCAAACCGATTGCTTATCTAAATCTCAGATCAAGCATCATCTCTTCTTTGAAGCCCTCCCTCCTTTCTTTTTTTTTTTTTTTAAAGGCAAAAACACATGTAATTTTATTTTTGTTTAATCTTAAGCTTGCCAACTTCTTTCCCTGAACAGCATTTGTCTTGTTTTTATATCCACCTACGCTTATATTAGAAATGTACTGCAAACTACTTAGTGATTCCACTTTGAATTTATAGTCCTATGACTAAGATGTTTTGAAGCCTATCCATATGCCAGATGTAAATGTCAGGAACTGTTAATGTCTCTTCTTTTACAGAAATTCTACCTCTATCCCGATGTAATTAGGTTGATTAAGAAATTTAAAGGCTATGGGCCAGAAAACTAACTTCCACAAATGCAACAAAAGGAAAAGTTTTTCCAAGTACAGTACATCTATGCCATGGGAAATCTTTCTTTCTTTTTTTTTTTTTTTTTTCTTTGAGACGGAGTTTTGCTCTGTTACCCAGCCTGGAGTGCAATGGCGCCATCTCGGCTCACCGCAACCTCCGCCTCCTGGGTTCAGGCAATTCTGCCTCAGCCTCCTGAGTAGCTGGGATTACAGGCACACGCCACCATGCCCAGCTGAATTTTTGTATTTTTAGTAGAGACGGGGTTTCACCATGCTGACCAGGATGGTCTCGATCTCTTGACCTCGTGATCCACCCGCCTCGGCCTCCCAAAGTGCTGGGATTACAGGCGTGAGCCACCGCGCCCGGCCGGAAATCTTTCTTTCAAGTACCAAGTCGGTTTCTTCAACTGTACAATGTATTCTAATTTAGTTTTTAAATATAATACATAACAGCAAAATGTAATAAAATTAAGACTGTAAGAAAACAGTAAATGGTATAATTCAAATAATGACTAAAATAAAATGGCATTATGGATTTTGTAATCAATATATAACTATATATTTAAATTTTACTTTACATCCGTAAGCTCACAGTTAAGGAGGTTAACCATAATTTCAAATTTTATTACCAGCCACTGTGCTATTTTATCACATTTAAAAATATCACTCTTGCCGGGCGCGGTGGCTCAAGCCTGTAATCCCAGCACTTTGGGAGGCCGAGGCGGGTGGATCACGAGGTCAAGATATCGAGACCATCCTGGTCAACATGGTGAAACCCCGTCTCTACTAAAAATACAAAAAAATTAGCTGGGCATGGTGGCGCGTGCCTGTAGTCCCAGTTACTCGGGAGGCTGAGGCAGGAGAATTGCCTGAACCCAGGAGGCGGAGGTTGCGGTGAGCCAAGGTCGTGCCATTGCACTCCAGCCTGGGTAACAAGAGGGAAACTCTGTCTCAAAAAAAAAAAAAAACAAAGAAAAACAAACAAACAAAATTATTAAAAAAAAAAAAATCACTCTTATTTTTTACCTCAAACAGTTATCTATAAATTTGTTTAGACCATAATAATTAAGGACCTTTTCTTTTCTTCATCAGGATAATTTTAAAAATTGAATGATGTATCGAACATATTACTAAAGAAACTTTACTTTTTGATTATGGCCTCTACATTGAAGATCTGTAGGAATTTTTCTAATTAATTCTCAAATCTTTCCATGACCTCTCTGTTCATAGAAATATCATCTTTGAAATAGTTTGTGTAACTACAAATCAAAAATGGATTCACATGACTGAATTATCATAGTCACTAATTTTAACAGTCTCCTAGATATTTTCTATATCAGTTTTCTTGATTATGTTCAGTAATATGAACATGCTCTTAACAGAACAGAACATTTCATTACATCAGTTTCCCATCAACCCACCAAAATCACTTAATAATTATATTGGCCATTTCCACTGATCGGCAGGAGGCTCTTCCATTACTGGCTCCCATGTTTTCCACTGCACCATTTTTCTTGCCAGACTTAGTTCATGTTCAGCCTGAAGAATCACCTCTTCTAATTGACCACCTTGAAGTTGGTCTTCTAATTTTTGAACATCTGGTTCTGCTTTAACCATAGCTAGCTTCTCATTTATAATCTGTTCTGTATATTTTCTATATGCTGCATTTTTAGGGATATCCTCAAGAACTTCAAGAATCTTTGTGTACAATATTCTTAGCCTCTCATGTGGAGTATTGCACACAGTCAATCCCACAACGCCAATGGTCTTTTTTTTTTTTTTTGAGACGGAGTTTGAGTGTTTTTACCCAATTGGCGTAATCTGGGCTCACCGCAACCTCCGCCTCCTGGGTTCAGGCAATTCTCCTGCCTCAGCCTCCTGAGTAGCCAGGATTACAGGCACGCACCACCATGCCCAGCTAATTTTTTGTATTTTTAGTAGAGACGGGGTTTCACCATGTGGACCAGGATGGTCTTGATCTCTTGACCTTGTGATCCACCCGCCTCGGCCTCCCAAAGTGCTGGGATTACAGGCTTGAGCCACCACGCCCGGCCTCCAATGGTCTTCTTTAGCACACCCGCCGTGACAGTGCCTATGAATCAATGTCGCACAGTCCTCTGGAAACAACTGCTCTCCCTCCTTTCTAAGCAGTTATCTGAGGTTTCTTCTGCTCTGTCAAGTCTTTTATAGACCTATGACACATTTTATTATGATACTTGCCTACTTTTCTGGAGCCGATTACAAGTCTTCCTCTTTCAAGAATGTAAACTCCAGTGAGAGCAGGAACTATACCACAATTATCGTCTCTATATCCCGAATACCTAGTACAATGCTTGCTACTTTTAGGGCACACCTCTAGTGAGAGGTTCATTATATTGACTACCAGATATAAATGTGTTGTATTAGGACACTTTGTGCAAGTGATAAAAACCCAACTCAAACTGGCTTAAAGAAAATAATTTGTTGCCTCATAATACTGGGGTAAGCTTGGTTTTAAAGGAGGCTGGATCCAGGGTTTCAAAGGATAGGGAATTTTGTTTTTTATCTCTTGATTTTACTTTTCTTTGAGTTTTTTTGACGCTTTGTTCATGTAGAGCAGCACCTGACAAAATGAATGGGCCCCTTTCCCCAGAGTTGTGAGGAAATAAAGGGGAGATAGGGCTATCGCACCCCGTTAACAAGCAGTAGTTCTGCAAAGATAAGCCCATAACACCAAAACCTAAGTCCATCCCCTGTACATATTTGAAAGCATATGACTGGAGATCTGCTTACATGCCTACCTACTATATTTATACCCTATTATCAATCTATGATCAACATATCCAGACTTAACCTACCTTCCTTCCTCCCCTTCTTTCTTCCTTTTCTTTTTAAACTTTTTATTATTGAAAATTTAAGGCCGGGTGTGGTGGCTCAAGCCTGTAATCCCAGCACTTTGGGAGGCCGAGGTGGGTGGATCACAAGGTCAAGAGATCAAGACCATCCTGGTCAACATGGTGAAACCCCGTCTCTACTAAAACTACAAAAAATTAGCTGGGCATGGTGGCGCGTGCCTGTAGTCCCAGCTACTCAGGAGGCTGAGGCAGGAGACTTGCCTGAACCCAGGAGGCGGAGGTTGTGGTGAGCCAAGATCGCGCCATTGCACTCCAGCCTGGGTAACAAGAGCGAAACTCCGTCTCAAAAAAAAAAAAAAAAAATAGAAAATTTAAAACACAGATGTGGAGAGAATCATGTAAAGGAACTCTCATGTCCACATGACCAGCTTTGTTTAACAGCTGTGAACACATAGCCATTAAATACCCCCACCTCCAGTGTATCTATTTAATCTGTAATTACTTGTATGTATGTATTTGTAAAAGATAAGGACTCTTTGAAAAAAAAAACAAACCAGAACTATGAGCTTAAGCGCCACATAAGTGACCATTAAGAAAAGAAAGAAAATTTGACAGGGAAAAGGGAAAAATACTAAAGAAAAAAGAAAAAGTTGTAAAAAAGAAAAAGAAAAACAGAATCACAAATTTTATCACACTTTGAAAAAACTAGCAGTAATTTCTTAGTATCATTAAACTTCCCTATTATCTCATAAATTTTAAGAAAACCTGGTAATTTAAATTAGGACCCAAAGACCATATATTATATTGGTTAAAATGTCCCTTATGTATATTTTAATCTATTGGTTCTCCCCCTTTTTTTCTTGAAAAAAATTTGAGAAAGAGTCTGGGTCCTTTGTCTTGTAGAATTTCTCTTGTTTTGGATTTGACTGATTATTTACTGTGTCCATTAACATATTCCTGTATGCCCTCTATTTCCTATAAGTTGTTGTTCAGCTTTAGAGCCTTGATGAGATTCAGATCTAATGTTTTTGGCAAGAATATTTCATATTGCCGGGCGTAGTGGCTCACGCCTGTAATCCCAGCACATTGGGAGGCCGAGGCAGGTGGATCACGAGGTCAAGAGATCGAGACCATCCTGGTCAACATGGTGAAACCCCGTCTCTACTAAAAATACAAAAAATTAGCTGGGCATGGTGGCGCGTGCCTGTAGTCCCAGCTACTCAGGAGGCTAAGGCAGGAGAATTGCCTGAACCCAGGAGGTGAAGGTTGCGGTGAGCCGAGATTGCGCCATTGCACTCCAGCCTGGGTAACAAGAGCGAAACTCCGTCTCAAAAAAAAAAAAAAAAAAAAAAAGAATATTTCATATTAAGATAGTGTGTACTTTCAGCTGCATCACATTCAGGAGGCACTTGATGTCTGGTTGGCTCTTTTTGTGATGTTAAAATTGGCCAATGCGTTATGGCCTTGTTGCTCCTTCTTTCTTTTCTCTTTTCTTTCTTTTCTTTTCTTTTCTTTTCTTTTCTTTTCTTTTCTTTTCTTTCTTTCCTTTCTTTCCTTTCTTCTTTCTTTCTTTTTTTTTGAGATGGAGTCTCACTGTGTTGCCAGGCTGGAGTACAGTGGCACGATCTCGCTCACTGCAACCTCTGACTCCCTGGTTTAAGTGATTCTCCTGTTTTAGCCTCCTGAGTAGCTGGGATTACAGGCACGCACCACCATGCCTGGCTAATTTTTGTATTTTTGGGAGAGATGGGGTTTCACCATGTTGGCCAGGCTGGTCGCGATCTTCTGACCTCATGATCTGCCCGCCTTGGCCTCCCAAAGTGCTGGGATTATAGGCGTGAGCCCCCATACCCGGCGGCCTTGTTACCGTTGTAATCATCAGATTTTGATGAAAGACTTAATGTTTTGACAGCCATTGATGATCATGCCTAAATCCATTATTTTTGTTTTGTGGTAAAAGGACCACTCCCAACTGTTTAACAGGAAGCCCAGAAATATATTAAGAAAAACAACTGCAGGACTGATATTCAACACTCTTGAACAGCTAGTCCCATCTTATCTCTCCAGCCTTTTCATCCTCTATTGCTGTGTAATACCAGACTATTACATACCCTTAAAACATTTAAATTCCCACTTCCAGGCCTTTTCACAGTCTTCCAAACTTAGAATGGTCACCCTTCACTCTGCTAGTGTAGTTCTTTTAATGCTTGCCTTAACCTTCCCTGAGGTGTTCTGATTTCCCTAGCCAGAAACAGTCTTTTGAACTCTTGTGGAATTTTTCAAACTACTTTTTACCATTTTACTATTTAAGTGGCACACATGTTATTAAATAGATATACTCAGTATGTAATTTGAACACTTCTTGTGTTCAAATGTAAGGACTCTAATTTAATGTAAGCTTTTTGAGGGCAGGGACTGCCTCATATATCTTACTGTCTGTCTGGTTTCTTACTTAGTGCCTTTAGGAACTTGTTAACATGTCTTTCCATGACTAGACTGTGAACTTTTTGGAAGCAGAGACCACGGTTTACTGGCATTTGTGATGGCAGTCTCAAGCCATCTAGCAGGTACTCGGTAAATGTTTGTTGGATAAGCAGGATTAATTTACATGTTAAAGGTTGTTCGTGATAAATGTATGGATTTTTATTTTTATTTTTAAAAATATTTATTTATTTATTTTGAGACAGAGTCTCTCCCTGTCTCCCAAGCTGGAGTGCAATGGCGCGATCTCTGCTTACTACAACTTCTGCCTCCTGGGTTCAAGCAATTCTGCTGCCTTAGCCTCCCAAGTAGCTGGGATTACAGGTGCTCACCACCATGCCCAGCTAATGTTTTGTATCTTTAGTAGGGACTGGGTTTTACCATGTTGACCAGGCTGGTTTCAAACTCCTGACCTCATGATCCTCCTGCCTTGGCCTCCCAAAGTGCTGGGATTACAGGCGTGATCTGCTGCGCCTGGCCAGTGTATGGCTTTTTATAAAGGACTGTTTATTATTTAAAAACTGACCCTGGATGTTTGACTTTTTCCTAATTGATGTAATCTGTATCCATTTTTATATATTATGCTAGATCTGTTACTATTACAATATGCTCTTTAAGTGTTCTTTTTTCTCCTAGTAAAATCAATCTATCAGTAAATGATTGCTTATCACAGATAAGTGTCTGTTTTCTGTATTAGCCCAGATACCCCAAAAATCCTATGAAAGAAAAAAAAGGTAACTTAAAATATGTTGCTTTTTTTCTGGACTTAAAAATAATTGCTCTCTAGAGCAATTATTGATCTTTAATTTAATTTAATTTAATTTATTTATTTTTGAGCCGGAGTTTCATTCTTGTTGCCCAGGCTGGAGTGCAATGGCGTGATCTTGGTTCGCTGCAACCTCCGCCTCCCATGTTCAAGCGATTCTCCTGCCTCAGCCTCCCGAGTAGCTGGGATTACAGGCATATACCACCATGCCTCGCTACTTTTGTATTTTTAATAGAGTTGGGGTTTCTCCGTGTTGGTCAGGCTGGTCTTGAACTCCTGACCTCAGGTGATCTGCCCGCCTTGGCCTCCCAAAGTGCTGGGATTACAGGCATGAGCCACCATGCCCAGCCTTAGTTTATTTTTTTTGAGGTAAGTCTCATTCTGTCACCCAGGCTGGAGCACAGCGGTGCTATCTTGGCTCACTGCAGCCTCTGCCTCCTGGGATCAAGCAATTCTCCTGCCTCAGCCTCCCAAGTAGCTGGGATTACAGGTGCCTGTCACCATGCCTGGCTAATTTTGTATGTATTTTTAGTTGAGATGGGGTTTCACTGTGTTGGCCAGACTGGTCTTGAACTCCTGATCTTAAGTGATCTGCCCACCTCGGCCTCCCAAAGTGCTGGGATTACAGGTGTGAGCCACTGCGCCAGGCCTATTGCCCTTTTTTATAGTTTTGGACATTTGACTTTTTTTTTTCTTTTAAT